AAAATAATTTTTAAGATAAAAATTTAAATTAATAAAATGCACTACGCTCGTTGAGAATTGCTAAATTTCTATTAACAGATTTTTATCTATTTTTATAAATTGAAATTATAAATTCCGTTAATTGTAAAACGAGTTTAAGATTTCTAAGATGTATATTATGTACTAGAATGGGCAAAAAATGTGTATTTATATAATTTTTAAATTCATATTTTCATAAAAAATATAGCTTTCTATTTCTTTGCGAAGATATTTAATTTGTTCACCATAAATTATGTAAGTAGTTGAATTATACAAAATTTAATATCATCGTGTTTTACAAATCATAGTACATACCATACTTACGCAATAGGCTTTCATTTTCATAAACTCATTATCTCAGCAATATTGTAAAACACTGCAACTGACGCGTTTTGATAGTTACTTATACGGGTTCATAGTCGTAAAAGGATTAAAACGTTTTTTTTTCATATTCCTTTAACACTAGAACTATTAAACTCGAAGAAAGACGGATTTCAATTTCTTTGCTTTTCATACATTGCAAACTTGGAATTGTTTTTAGAGAAATTAGTGTTATTCATTATAGAAATAGATATTCAATTATACGTACGTAATTATTTCATTACACAATCTTTATTATTATTATTATAAATACGCTACATTTAAGATATACATTATAGCTCAATAAATCTAGCGTTAAAAAGTATCATGTCTTAAATATTATTTAAAATTCATAATTTACTGACAATATTTTCTCCTTTATTCGGTTTTAACGTATGTCTGCATGAAATCTTTGCTTTAAACTGCATCCTGGACTAAAAGATAGATTTTTCGTTGTTCACGATGAAACGCTCTCTACTATTGATTTAAATGCGTATACAGTGATTCACAATATATGCAAGATATGCAATATATGCAGCATAACATCAGAAGTAGTAGCAGGTAATATTTTGCCAGGTAGAAATTTTTAATTTGTAGGCATCATATTTCTTTTTAAGGGGAAATTAATCCTATGGATTATTTAAAAGAAAAAAAAAAATGTATTATTAGAGATACAAATAAATTTTTGGTTCGTGTAATATTTCGAGATGCAGCATAAACCTTTCAGATTTTTATAATCAAATCACGAATATTTTATACTATACGTATCTATATTTTTGTCTAATAATTAACAACAAATTTAATAACATTAGGAATTTAGAAATGGTAGTTCAAAGAAATATGATTTTATAATTATCATATATAGTTTACCATTTAAATTAAACATGTACCTTTTTTTAAAAAAAATTGATAAATGAACGATTTTATAATGCTACTTTTTTCAAATTTTTATTTCAGAATTTTATTTTATAAAATTTCTATTTTTTTCGGAGTTCCCTAGGAAAATAATTCTCTAGTATTGCTTTAATTACCATTTTCGGTACCAGTTGGAAACAAAAGTTTTACGAAATTCACGCGTTAATTTATAATATAGTACAATTTGGAAATTATTATTCGTATTTTAATTTTAACTTTTGCTTGACAATTCGATGCATTGATGGGTTCTAAATCGAAGCAATATGACCATAAATCGCCACCCTTGCAGTACACCCTCAATGGCGAACGCCATTAATTGCTAGAACTGACTACATACATATGCCTGAAAATGTTTTTGCGTTCCCCTATTCCCGGAAGAGTCACCGCCCAAGAGAATTAACCAATGACATGTTTCGGTATAAAACAAAATAACAGTCGAGACATTGACATGAAAATTGTAAAATAGTAAAACTCGTGAAAAAAATTGTGTTATAAATATTAAGTAATCCTTCGATTAATATAGTTTTAGATTTATTTACGTATTTTTAACTTATACATATGGAGAGATTAACATTATAAAAAGGATTGAAATATTTATGGTCTTACTAGATGTGAAAATAATAAATGAAGATAAGATAAGATCTAGAAAATGTTTTATAGTAGCATGATCGTTAGAGTGATAACTTCTAACAATTTCTTGTGGATAAAATGAAGCTGATAAGAAATTAGATATGGGAAGAAACTGTCCTCAATCTAATATATCAATAAACAGGTAACATGAAATGTAAGTAGAAACCACCGAGTAACTAGTATACCATAAATAACTAGTATACAACTGAATTTATAATAGAAGAAGAAAATTAATATTACATCCGTTATTTCTTATTCTTTGACATCATTTATTATACAGTAGAGTTGTGTTTGTTTTTTAATTTTAAAAGCCATATAGGAAGTACTTCTCATATAGTTTATTATCTTAGTTTATTATTTAATATTTAGTTTATTATTTAATTTGATTCGTATTTATCATGTAAAACGTGACCCAAGTGTTTCATTACATAATTCATAATGGTATAACACAAAAATTACCATATCATTGCAATAGAGATATTCAACATCACTGAAACGAATTTCAACGTGCAGCAACAAAACACAATTCCAATTAAATTTTAATTTACAATATATTTATTTGCATAAATGTATAAGTATAAAAATTCCTAATTTTATCATATAATTCATAATTTACTATTAATACACTTAAAATTACGTTACGCTTCAAAAATTACCATGTCATTTTGTTAGATTTACACTGAAAGTCAGTGAAATTGTCTTCGACCTTTTATTTGAATAAAATTCAAGATAGCCTACATATGTACACATCGTGTGCGTGCAGCATCACTTCCTTTCTTATGAATGAACATTTCGTGACCAACGCTTATAGCATGTTCAATGGACCGTCGAGGAGCCCAAGTTAATCAGCAGAAACTTAACGTCTCGGTGGATGTAGCATTTCGAACACAGGAATTCTTTGTTTGACGTTTCATTTTCCACTCGTCGCATGTTCCGCCACGCGTATGCTTTCACACAATATCCACGTAAGTCAAAACGCACGCGTTCATGCGATCACGCATGCTAATATACAGTAATTTTCACAAATGGCACGCGGGCGTGAAGCCAAGTTGTTTAATCGTTTCAACACTTACGTAATTGTGTCAAGTCGAATGTTCCTTGATAAAGGCGAGTGTATACAATTTGCATCGAATCGTTCAAACGAATAATTGATTCCATTTAAATTCCACGCGATCATGTTGGATATGTTTACAAATTTTTTCAGTATTTAAAATTTTTTTCAAATATACTTATATTCTTTAAATATTTAACTTTAAATATTATAATTTTTTAAATGAATATTTGTATTTGTTTTCTTTTTATACTTAAATTGATTTCAGTTTATTAGCACCTTAATTTATAATATTAATAATACTAACTGATAACGTGTATCTGAATATTATGTAGATGAATAAAAATACATAAATAATATGACGAGTAGGGGAAGAACAGGAAATGTCCACTTAGTGATTTTAGGTGTACATTTTGATAATGCTAGTTAGAATTGCAGCAGTTAGGACTGCATACTTCTCTTCAAAATTTTTATTTTGCTAATATTCATTTAAAATTAGTATTAATTTGAGTAATATAAAAATATAATTTTATCCATATATTTAACACTAAATCTAATAAATAAAAATTTTAGATATTTTATTATCGATATCACTGAAAACGTGGAGCTACCTTCGACAAAATTAACGTGGAATTTTATTCAAATGGAAACCTAACCTAACCGATTCATTTATCATTTGTGTGCCATATATTTAGTCACACATAACAGATTAGTAATCGTCATCTAACTTGAAGTGTACTCGCATATCTATGTTTTTTAAATGTTATCTACTTATCGCTGCATTATTATATCGTGTCAGTATTCTATTCTTCTGGCATCAACCAATCAGGTCATAACAATCAATAGCTCTTTGGTTTCGAGTTTTTTATTTTCTTCTTTTTTTTTTATTTTTAATCAAAAAAGAAATTCAGATTGTACAAAATTAATATTGATTTCCTTAAACAACATTGGTTATTTTCCACTGTAGTGTGTAGAATTTTATAAGATAAAAAGATATCTTATTACTTTTATTTTATACATTTCGTGCTATAATATCATATCAGCAACAAAGAACCGATAAACAATATTTTTCATGAATGATTTTGATATTTGAAATTGAATATTTAACGTTCAAAATTTCCTTTCAATATTTCAGTATTTAAGATGATCACTTTAATTTCTCTCATTCGGATTATGCGATGTGCCGTAGCAATACATAATAATAAATGCGTAATAAATAAGGAAGGTAAAATGTAAATATATATATTTAATAAGACGATGTTCTCTTATTCGACACACGTTATCGACAGTGAAAGTTGAAATTTCTCGCAGCACCATTTACCAGAGTGACAAAATCTCACAGTAGATTGAGCCCAAAAAGAATGTATATTTAAACTTCGGTCTACTATCAGGTAGGGTACCACTTACTAAAAAAACAAGCAGTATATATATAGAGATGTCCAGCCGAAGAAGAACATGCACTTACTCTAAATATTTGACTTAAAAATAGAGATTTAACTTCATCGCGTAGTAGTACCATTTACTGACGCGACAAATCGATTTTTGACGTTCGAAATCCAAGCCGAAAAGTACTACGTAAAAAAATAAGGAAAGAAAAATTAATAAAGCGAAATAAAAGTTATCGAAATACCAAGGAGAACGTTACAATACTCGAACGCAGAACAAATGAGAAAAGAAGGAAGAGATACGAACGGAACTTATTTAGAAAGCCGGTAGATTACCATCGGGCGAGTCGAATTAATTAAAAAAAAAAGAAAGAAAAAACAAAAGAGGAAAAAGAGAAAAAAAAAATACGATACACAAGTACACTCTAATTCTCACGATTTCCCAAAATTGCATAAGAGGCATTCACCGTTAATCGTACACACGTAACCGCGCTCCTGAAACATTCGAACGCGAAAGCAGTCGCCTGTGCGCCGATTAGCGATTAGCCAGGAGCGACATGACAGTATCATGCGAGCTGCTCTATGAACCACGCGAGTGTCACCGTTAAACGGCCATCGGGTGGAACCCTTGCCACATAAATGTTAACGTTCGGTGGTCCGCTTTTTGTGCACGTTGCTGTAGAAGGAAACAGAGGGAGAGAGCGACAAACATCGTAGATATAGGAACACATCGAAAGCCGAGCGCGGGCGCACTCGTGACATCAGTCGTTCGCAGTCTACGCGAGTGGCACAGCGGTGTGCGGTGGCGTCGCGACGCCGGCGCAGTTCCGTCAATCGATTCCACGTTTTGCTAGCCGTGTACCCTCGGTTGGTGGCTAGGTAGCGGGTTGGATAGAGACGAACGCAGCCAGAAAGAAGAAAACGGATATGTCCGACGAGGAAGGAGCGCGAGGGTGAACCGGCTGCGAGAAAGAGACGGAAGAGAGAGAGCGAGGGAGAGACCGGGAGTCAGAGAGACGCGAAGGGAGAGTCAGACGAGGTATTGGTGCGCGTGTCTTTTGGCGACAACGCGTACAACCGAACGTGTGTGCAGGATCTGAAAGAGGTGACAGATTACGGGGAAGGTTTGTTCGAGCCGAAAAAACTGCCCGGTACTTTCGGCTCCGTGCCTCCCTCGGTTAAAAATATTCACGCACAGCGGTGCAGGATGACGGCGTTGCGGATTTAGAAGAGACAAACGTAACCTTCTCGCAAGCTGGACGCCGGGATCGATCGTAATACAGTCTTCTTAACAGCCGGCTGACACTGGCCCGAAGACATGGATTACCGGTCTGTTGGCACCAGGTGCGAGGATGATTCCCTGGAGAACGAGAAAGGAATCGGTGTTGCGGTAAGGGATGCATCCTTCTATGTGTTTTCCATCGCGATCGTTTCGACTAGCTTTTAGGCTATGACAACCTTCGTGGCTACCTTCGTGCGCGATGTACCTTGCCTGCCCGATTATTTCAGTGTCCTAACTTTCGGACAGACGATGAGCTTTGGCCGAGTCTGTCTCGATTAGATGTGGCCGTGCGAGATGATGTTAGACGTACTTTTGTAGTTCCACGCAGTGCTTCAGGTGATAAAGAATACGACGAAGATTAATGTCACAACCGTGACGACACATTGTGAGTTTCATGTGCCAAAACAGTAGATAAGTAGGCAATAATAGGCCGCTTGTGTGCAGTGTTGTCACGAAGCTTTGGTATTAAGTGACCGATCAACAGCATTTTATCGCAGTTAAGATAGAGGGATGATGTGGAAAATGAATCATTATCGTCGAGTAGCGGCCACGTGTCGAAATTGTTTCAATAAGATAAAATGCTCCTTAATTGTGACGTCGATCGAGTGTGACACTTCTGACGGTTTACGGAAGAAAGCTTCTCGTGGCGACCGGATCGTCTAAATTCGACTCTGCTTTTACATCGTGTCTATTGGGTCGGCATGCAGGTATAATTGGTCACCAATGTTCACGTATTATCCAGTTCTGGTTCAATTGGAAATGTTCGAATGGTGGATTGGGTTTCGTCGTAAGACGAGGCGTATGCGAAAAGCATAGAGAAGTTCGTTGATTTTAGAGCGCGAGTTGCTCTATTTCTGGAGTTTGAATCGGGTTACCTCGTGTTTTTGAACTTTTAGTTTACGATGTTACCTGCTGCGTGTGATCATTGATAAATCGTGGTGTTGCGATTTATCGATAAGGTGTATCAGGTCGAATATGCGCGATATCGTTGAGTTTTGATTCTACGTAGTCGTGATATCAAGGTCTCTTCCTATTTTGCTCGTATTAAATCATTACAATGTGAATCATTCTTAAAACTGAAAATATTCCATACATTTTGCAGCTGATATGATTTATAGAAACGACAAATTTATCGAAATTTCATCTAGTTATACGTATATATATATATATATATATATATGCAAAGGGAAAAGGGCTGTACGCGTAAAGATACGTGTGAATGAAAAATGCATATCCAATTTAAAAATGAGGACAGTAATTAAATCAGGCTCTTACTTGATGTAAATTAACTCTAGAAGAAATTGAAGCACTGCAAAGCGAGGCATTTTGCTCTTTTGAAAATATTTATCTTTTCTTTTATTCCTTTCTACTTGACGATGCACTTTAATATTTAAAAATATTCTATATAATACTGTGTAATAAATAATATACTACGTAATAAAAAATATATGATAACAATGGTACTACAGACAGTTTAAATTAACACTGTCAGTTCACAAAACAGTATGACATTAAAGAGGTAGTAATTTAATAAAGACAATGTATATTTTACAAATAAAAGGATACGTGTTATTACAATCTACCTGTTTATTCATTTTTATAATTTTATATGCATTTTAATTTGCAAATAATTCCATAAAGTTAATAGATCAAATAAATCATAATTCAAAATTTAATTCGAAATATATGAAATACTTATGATAATTACGTATTTAAGCAATTACATATCTTATCAACACAAATTATTGAATTTAATATAAATTATTGAAAAATAAAATGTTTACAAGTGCTGAGTAATGTGTACAATTGTGCGATTATAATTGTTTATAGTATCTATTAGACGGGTATTCTTTCGCAAAGTTTTGCACAGAAAATAGACGAGAAATCGATTAATATTGACCAATCTTTCGTACATATCCCGTGCTATACTTAAAAATAGAAATCCTAGGTACCACCTTTGTTGTTCACATTTTCCCGTCCTTTCTTCAGCATAACAGCGTAATGTAACAACGCAATGTAACGACCCGATGTAATAACGAAATGTAACGCGATGTAACAACAAAGATAACGACCATGAGAAATTCCAGCCGCGACCTTAGACCTTAGATGAATTTGTAATCGCGCGTTTTGCGCGTTATCTCTAATAATGCCGTCTAACGCGGCACGTAAGTACTTTCTCGTTGGTATGTAACAAGTAAAAATAACAGCCACGATGAAAATGGCTGCGTAAAAGGAGTGCACGTCCGTTTTATCGATCTCTAAACGCTAGCGGAGAAAGTGTAAAGGACATAAACTCGACGCGTTGCTAAAAGATTCCGGGGATTCTCAGCGTTCTCGTTCTAACTCTCGTTCTTGCTCTCCAGTGCTTTTCTTTGCTGTTGTTCCAGAACGAGCATAAGGGTGCATCGAAGCGTGGCGGCTCGCACACGCGCGGCACTGCAATGTCCTTTGGTTTTCGACGAAGACCGGCCTCCGGGATACCAATGCCGATAACGAACTATGCTACCGAGACGAGTCTACTGCATCCACGATCGAAATCCGCTGGTCCAGACCAGAACCGTAGGCGCGACGATGACAGCGTCAACATGATCCACAATTCGTCCTCAGGCCGATCGACACCGCGACTAGCACCACCGAAGAAGGAATCCAGCGGGATTGCCGTCAGGACGAATCGATTCGGTTACCGACAGTCGCAGGCGAAATTCACCAATAAAGTTAGCGATATCTGCACCAGTCATAGTGTAAGTCACTACAATCAAGAGAAGATGCAGCAGCAGCAACAGCAACAAGACGCTTTCGTGAAGCAACCGCACAGGGTGGTCCAAGTCTCTAATGTGGCGCCACCGTCGAAGATGAAATCGTCACCTGTACACAACACAACGTCCTACAACAATACCAATACCATGCATGTGGATGGAAATCGTAGAGTATCGGGCATTCCAGAGCCAATCGGCAGGTACACTCTGCACACCAGACATCTGCCTCTACCTCAGTACGCTGTAAGAATGACCGATGCGAACTCGAAGATAGCAAAAACCGCGGCTAATCAAAGTAGAAAGGTTTCCGCTGCGTCGAAGAGCTCCACGAGCTCGAAGGAAGGCTCCAGTACGGAGGATTCTGGCGTCGGAAGTCAACAGGGTTGCCCGGGTGAGGGTGATCTGAGGGGCGTGGATTATACGGATGGATCGTTAACAAGAAGGCGCGGTATGGGTAAACCTAGGAATTTAAGGATGGTCGTAAATGGTAAGAGTTTCGATGTCAGGGATGTCAGAGATGATGATAGCACGGTTACCGAAATATCCGTTATACCTTTGCCAAAAACGTTCAACACTGCTAACACTGGCTTGGTACGAGAGAGAGCTACCCAATACCAGAGGATCGTTAATAAGGACAATAGGTATACCGAATCTACGACGTCTATGTCTACCACTTCCTCCGAGGGTTACGATGAAGGATTAGGCGAAGAGAAGGTTTACAAAGACAGATCACATTCCGAAAAGATTCCTTCTATTAAGTCAGACTTCAGTCCACCGAGTTCCGACGATCCCGAGTATGGTCATGGAGAAGCTATGGCCGACGAATATTCCTTGAGCTCTAGCGACGAGTGTCAACGCTCTAGCTCTGTCCAGCATTTGCAATCGAACGTGGCTAAGTCTGCAACAGTCCAAAAACCTCCTCTGCGTTCTGTGCTCCTCACTATCGAAGATCCTGCATTCGCCGCTGCTGCGGCCACTTCGACTACTCTAATAGACGATGAAACCTCACCGGTTGACAGCCTTTTCGACAGCCTTACAGCCAGTATTACTCAGTCGGATACGAAAGTTCCGAAAAAGGAAAATACGATGGAGCAATCTGGGAACACTATTGAAGACGATAGTCCTGGAACGCCAACGAACGCCTCGAATTCGTTAAGTTTATCAGAGGGCCGAGAATATTTCGACGACGAGATCGCTGACCAGCCTGGGCTTGTTTTTGATGATAATTCGAGGGCTGGTGCTGAGACACAATCTGCTGTGACTAGTCAAATCGTCACTGAGAACAGTCATACTTTGGTGGAATCCAGTCCGAAAACAGGTAGATATTATTTAATAAATTGATGGGGATAAATGATTATTTAGAGAGTAGTTAATTTTTTCTTTTTCTTTCTTTTCCTTATCCTTTTTTATTTATTCTTTTTTTTTATCACTGCAACTACTAGAACTACATTAGAAGTTTAACTGCAACACTAAAGAATCATAATAATAAAATCAGTTAAAATAACACCTCTGACTCTGAATATTACTATTTATGTATATTGTATTTTATATATTTTGATATACTATATGATATATTATACTATGTATACTATATTTTGTACTGGATACAGATTATAGAAATGTAGTTCTAGTGTTAATTCGTTTTAAAAATTATTATGTGATATACACATTATGTCACTTAATATTATATACAGTGCGTATATTTCCGTTTGGAACGTAACTTATCATTCAGTAGTGTTTAGTTTTATTTATGGAACATGAAATTATATAAATATGTTATTATTTTTACTATTATTAACGATAGACAGGATGTTGAAAATGATACTTATAAGTCATTACTTTTTCCAGACAGGGGACCTGGAAAGAACGCAACTAACAGCCCTCACCATGGCAAACGAATTAGCCGAGCTGGCAGTGTCGACACTTTATCTCCTTGTGAATCTATTGCTTCTGATGACTTGATATTAGATTATGAACACAGCGATGCGAGCTCGTACGAAGAAAATCAACATCGGTTGGTATTTTATCACGTAGTAGAACATATTTATTCTGTACATTCATTTGTTGCACATGTATAAGATGTTTCATCTGGTTTGTATGTATGTTTTCAATAATTTTATTTAATATTTTCATAGAACAAATGTTGATTTAAGGAAACTAATTTTGCAAACCTGAAATTCATAACTGTAATATGAGTGATATCTTCCACCAACTGTAATTCAATTTATTTTCAATGCTACAGAGATATTATTGCAGTTATATAAAAATTGCATATAACAATTTTTTAATAAAATTATATAACATATAATTCTGTTAGAGAATCCTTTGGTTATATACATTCTGTATTTTTCTTAAAAAGAATTTCTAACAATTTAGTGCATCCTGTTGAAACAAACAGATTACTTTTAAAGTATTCTTTTGTGTTGTTAGAAATGATAGAAATTGCGAAAATATGTAAATAAGATGATACATTTTATATTTTCTATATATCCACTTGTTAAAATAACGTATTGAATGAAATTCTGGAAAATAAATAAAAATTAGTTTACGTGCGAGTATTGATAAAAATATATTGAATATTGTTATATATTTTAGAGCGGAGACTTGTACGGCATTGCAAGATATGGATAACGCTACCATTCTCTCCGAATTGGAAGCCCAAGGTGAAGAAGTAATGAGGCAATGGACTTCTTTGTTGAGTACATGCCAAACGTTGCAAGAAACTAATAACTCCAACACAATTAATAACAACGTGAACAGTGGATCGGCCAATAATAATAATCAACCAGCCAACGAAATAGGGTGTGTATTTAAAGCTTTTATGTCGCTTTTAAAATTATTAATTGCTTTATACTGTTCATGGTTTAAAACAACGCATGATTTTGAGACAGATATAATTATATACGGAACAAAATGTATTACTGTGATCTTTTGGGTACAATTTTAATAATACTAACATCTCCTATTTTTTTTTCTTTTTTTCAAATATTATCTTGACTATAGTTCAGTGTCCCTATAGTTATTGGTATTAATGTAAATCGAATAACGCATAATTTTTTTGTAGCTTCGAAAATGCTTCTTTGGTTGTGTTTCATACATTTATGTTATATGTTGCTTCGTTGTACGTTGATTTATACGTTAATACAGATTTATTGTAGAGTATGAATAGGAATAACGAAATACCGTCTTTCATTATTGGCTCAATATACTGCTTGTATATATACATATCAAATTCAATGTATAATGTAAAAAAATTAATTAACTGTTTTCATACATTTCACTGGATAGTAAAGTTAACTATACAATAAACACAAATTTAAATATATATTGCATAGAGATTTATTTTGATATAATAGAAATTCTTGAGATTACGTATTTATGAAATAGAAGTATTAATCATATCTAAAAATTAATTAGAAAGATATTTGTGTAGGAAAGATTATTTATAATCTAAATATGTTTCTTTACATATGAAAGTATTTTAAAATTAACGTATTTTCTTTCTATAAAATGCGAATAAGTAAAATATAGCATAACTTATCCTTAAAAGAATTTGAAGAATATGATCTTCATAAATAAAGCCAAAATGATAATGAATATGGTTTTCATAAAATGTAAGAACAGTTTGTATAGTTATTATTAGAAGAGATTCTGTTTTTAATTTCTAGCATACTTAAGGTAAGTTGTGTAATACCATAGATAAATATAACAGTCCATGAATATTTATTGTTTTCTTTAAACATGCCATAAAAGTTATTTTACTTTCGAAAAGTTATTAAACTATCGTTTTAATTTCTAAATTTAGTAAGAAAACCATTTTACTAATTTCTATCAAAAATTTTCTTTTATAATATGTATTCATTGCAATATAGGACATAACTTCTAGATTAGTTGGGAAATATCGATGAATTGTTAATGAAGAATACTATATCATGAATGCCTTAAACTTTTAAATTATGTCAAATTTGTTCAAGCTAAAATTATTAGATAGAAATAAAGTTAAAAATATTAATTTAATATTTATTAAACGAAAATTTACTATTTATTTATTAAACTAAAATATTAATAAGATATTAGTTCTTAAATGATGTATTTAGTAGTAATATGTAATTATTTTAAAAATATTTTTACATGTTCTTTATGAAGATTTAATATTCGTTAAATATAAATATAAAGTTTAGTGTAAGAAATTATTTTTTATATACGATATAAAATGATACATTTTATTTGATATTTCATATTATATGTTTTGGTTATTATCCAATTGTTGTTTATTTTGATAATTATTTTTATTATTAGCTTCACTTCAATAATACAAATATTTATCATATGTTTGCTGAATTTAATTGCACGATATAATTTATTTAATAAAAATATTATCAACATGTGATTTTCCTCTTTGTTCATATAGTTCAATAATTTTCATATGTTTTCCTTATTAAATAGGTTTTATCTACCTGAAGTAATAACAAGAAAGCGTAGAATTGGTTATCAATTGACATTGCAAGAATTTGAAATTATGATTCTTTTATAATTTTTTTTTTTATTATTTACATTAATAGATATAAAAGTTATAGTTTTCTGTTAATATTTGAAAGCAATTTTCAAATATTTTATACATAAATTCGCAAATATCTTGCAAAAAAGTAATTGTCTAAGTGAGTTAATTTGTTGTAATTTGACGTAATAAGTAATTAAATATATTTTTTGGTTTTGGCTGTTTCATGTGAATGCATGATGACATCTTTCTAAGCATGTTTGAATTCAGTAGTTTATAAACTCGGTATAATTGTGCAGAATATGTTTCTAGTAATATTGACAACTTTTGTATATGTATAATAATATTTAAAATGGAAACTAATATAACAAAACGATACTGTTGCTAATGTTATTAAATTAATAGTAAAAAATACATTGTGGCAGGAACAATTACTAGCCATAATATAGAGAGAAAGATTAATTTAAAAAAAGAAAGAAAAATGTATATTTTTTAGACTGAAAAGATTTTTTTTCATAGTTAAAAAGAATATATATATCCAAAAATTGTAAAAAGCAATAATTTTTTTGTAAGAACGAGTTTATTTATATATATTTTTGTATTTTATTGTAGTTTATAAATCATCATATTTAAAGCGAAATATCCAAATTTCATGTACAAGTAATTAACAATTAAAAAGATTAAGAAGAGCTTTATTTATGGCGTGAATATTTGCCACGCATTTTGTTTTGATGATATTTAATATCTTTACTAATTATGTGCTTTCCCAAAGCAATATCGTTTTAAACTGTCTGTTGTTTTGATTAAAAATGAAAATATTTGCAAGAATATTTTGTCATTTATGTATTTCACAGATACAATTGTTAACTAAAAAATAAGATTTTTAAATATTTAGTCAAATGTAATAGATATTAAATCAAATTAAATTTAATGAAATTTAATAAAAATTTTATCAAGTCTAATAAATACTTAATTAAATTATTTCTTTTATGATAAATCTTTATATACTAATAAATCTTTTTATGATATGAATATTATTCGTTTCTGTCATTTTGATAACTGCAGTGCATACGTGTTTATTTCTCCATTCGTGTAAGTATATTTTTTAAAGAATTATTTATCTAACAATGGATTAAATGGAATCATTTTAACGAATGTATTTGTGAAATACGCCAGGGGTTTACGATATGCAAGAGACACTATTCTATGACGGATAAAGCTATGTCTCATCCATTTAAAACTACGTCTGCATTCCCTACATGCGGATTTCTCTTCAAGCAAGATATCACACTCATCAGTACGTTCATTTCAAAATCAATAACTCTATAGAAATTGCTTCCATGCATTCATATGAAATGAAAAGCAGACAGTTTTAGAAACAAACACAAAATAATATTTCTGTTAAAGAAATGTGTTGTTGCATATAAAACGAAATATTATTAATTATTATTACATATTTTTTTAAAACGAAATACAGTTTAAACTGGAATGCTGTTTTGTTAGGTACTTAAGATGGTTATTTTTTATTTATTATTTGTTTCGAATGACTATTTATTTGCATAAAGAAAGATTTTATTCATATTTTCTTTACTTTTTATTCATTTTGTTACTTTTATTTTTTGTTTCTAAAGCAAGTGTCTTCGTTATTTTTTGATTTTCTGGAATATAAGTATTTAATGCACCTTTTTATAATACATAGTTGCTTATTTTTAACTGTTATTAATTTTTATTTTAACAAATAATTTTAATTTATAAAGTCAAAAGATATGAGCTTTCGATTAATAACAATTCTCTAATTTATGCAAAGTATTATAAGTTTTTGGATATTTTTATTTACTCGTTTTAAATATATAGTAATTTTTTTATAAAGATAGATAAATGTAGTAATTAAATCAAGAGTATGAAAATAAAAGTGAACTTCATAATTATTAACAAAATTGAAATCATATAATATAATAAAGAAAGGACAGATACGTTTAAATTAGTTTCAACAATCGATTTACAATACTTAATTTAAGGTTATAGTAATGAAATATCAAATGAGCATTTTTCACTAATAATTTAATAGAATTAATTATCGACGCCACGATTTTTACGAATATTTAAAAACGAATTTGGCGCGCGTCTGCGCGTGACTCATGTTCCATCCCCACTCTCTGGTTACCTTCTCCCCCATTCGCTGACTCAGACGGGTGTCATGGCTTCGCCGGCAACTCGAGCTTGAAACGCGGAACGCGGTTGTTACTACTGGTAGTAACGCATGTGCGCTCTTACTGTTCGTATTGTGTGTTGTTACGATCTTACCGCGTCGCGTGCAGCGTTATAGTCTTTTTTCACAGAAAAGTGAAGTGCTACAACAATAGTGATTTATACCTCAAAATAAAACAGAGCAATATCGTCCTTCGAGCTTCATTCGGACTATGCCTTAACATTTGGCAAATTTTAGTCAACAAAAGGGTACTAGTTAACACTTGTAGTGAGTAATTCTTTTTTTTTTTTTTTTAC